GAGCAATTCTCTCATAACTAGCCGGTTTTATTAGGTGGAGTTGGGCTCAATATTCCTAACATGGTATCAAAGTTAGGCTCAATTATGCAATGTTGGGTACCACCCAATATCGATTTGTTCACAGTTGTTCGATATGGTCCACGCTGTGCGTGAGGGGGCGTATTAGAATCCCATATTGTTTGGGAAAATATAAATGATCCACTTAATAAGGTGAAGACAATCCTCCCCTAATAAGCCGATTTTATTAGATGGAGTTAGGCTCAATATTCCTAACAACCCATCACCCAAGAATAATATGTGATTTGTTGTATCTGTCAAAATGTCAAACTGACCACACCACACTCAATGATAGTAGTATCCGTCAAAAGGTCTAAGCAAGCCTTGGCAATAAGCCTCCTCCACAGCTTAGGTGACAATGCACTCTCCACGGCATCGTCATTCATAAAACAAAAAAATAAACGATAAAGCCAGAACTATTAAATGACCACACCACACTCAATGATAGTCACATCTGTCAAAATGTCTAAGCGAGCCTAGGCAATAAGCCTCCTACACAGTTCAGGTGACAAAGCACTCCCCTGGGTATCGTTATTCAGAAAATGAAAAAATAAATGATAATGGAAGATTATTACTTATTATTGTTACAGCACTCCCTTCTCTCTAGTCTACTTTTTTCTCCATTTCATCATTTATTTATATTTCATACATTTCGAATCTCTGTTGGTAGATTCATATAGGTATGCGCATGCTACAGTGTATTTTATAACCTTGAAAAGAGTACAAAAATACTTAAGAAAGTGGCAAATTAACTACGCTTCTCAGTCCTTGGCAAGCACCCACGACAACTATGGATAATAGTATATGTTCCAAATACTGCTCACAGGCTTCCCATTTTGACATTTTTTTTCTACTCCAGGTCACAGAAAATTAGTGTTGCCCTCTATGACAATTCCATGTCTACACTTTTAATTAAAAGTAAACTCTGCGATTCAAGCCCAACTAAGTACTGCTGTATCAAAGTGGACTGTATTCCACTCACATTCAACATAGTGCCAGGATTTTTCGAAATTATGATCTACTAAATCAAAGTTAAATATCTGGAAATTATTCTGGCCATTCACACAAGTCACGATTAGCATCTGTACAAATATTCTAGTTGTAAGAAAGAGAAACTGCATGAATGGTTTTATCTTTCACCTTTTCGTAGCACAATAATGTATTGAGAAAAAGCTTGTCACTCACACTGGGGATCTCCTCGATTGCAAGAGAAATTTCGTTGAAGACAATTCAATCCTGAAGGCATAGCACTGAAATTGAGAGAAGAATTTATAGCTAATTAGGAAAGGTATCATGCCTATTGCTTTGACATACTGTATTATGGCACTCAAAACATGAAACAATATCATTCAATTATCATTCACGAGTGGATTGGCATCTAAACATCATCCATTCAGAATGGATAGACATATTGAATTATGTACTATTTTGTGGGCAATGGTTATAATACATTCTTCACCAACGTACCAGTGGGAAATGTTTATGGAAGTCCTCGATTCTTCTGTGATTAGGATAGCAATGACCAGAATAATAAGATGTCACAACTAAGAAACATATGAAGCTACAAAACATTTTCTAGTTTGGTGTATTCAAATGAACATAAGATAAAATTTTTGAAGCCTACTCTATTATATTCTATATAATGTGCTGATCAAGAGTGTATGGCTTCAGATATGCACCTGCTGTTAGAACCTTGTAACACGAAGTTGTTGGCGACCAAATTACTGTAGAGAAATTTCTGTTAATTTTGGGGTATGCCAGCTTAAATGACGAGATAATATCCCAAATAAAAGAAAAACAAGAGTTCTATATCATAACATATAAATCATACTACTTTTTAATATGAAGTTTGTACAGTTGCATATTTCGCTGGTTCACCCAAGAAGGGAAGTTCCCGAATAATTCGTTGTATGAGAAATCTCTGCAAGCAAGTGTTATAAAGATGTTAAGGATAGTATTCTATTCCACAGATCAATATACTATATAGCATTCTATTCTACAGACCACTTTATATTTGTGTTAATACACAGGAGTCAATTCTTAAGATTATTCTCAGCAGTGTAGTGTGAATCTTCCTCATAGAATTACAAAATACTAGTACTACTGTAGCTTATCCCATGATAGTTATTTTACGCTTTGATGTTAGCACGGACATGCGTAACCAGTCCAATGATTTTCATGTGATTAATTACACTATACAAACTCAAGCTGTGATTGTACTTCTTTAGTTGGCCCCAACTCATGAACACCATAAAAAAAGCACGTGTACAGATTATAACAGTCAATCATTCACTCAAGTTCTTTAATGATGTTTAGAAAAAGTCGTTCCCAGATAGCTTATATTTGAATTTTGTTAGTAATTCTTGAGGCCAATATTTTTTTATTGTGCTGTAATGGTTTCACTACAACTTCAATGGAAAGTATTTCTCCAAGAACTCAAGATTACTGCTTCACGTATAACATGTTTAATGCCTTTCTCAACATACTTCTTGTATATTAAGACTATAACTAAGCAATCTAAAGGGTTGAATGTATGACTGCATAAAATTAAAGCATTGTTTATTTTTTCTTTTTTAAGTGGGGAGTGGAGGGGAGTTACCAATCCCGGAATCCTTGACCGTGGTTGTAGAAACAACTATTCTTAACCAACCAGCTTATTGTGAATTGGTAATTAAAGAATTGATTAAAGCCTAGAGGTTGTATCATCCAAATCGGGCTTGGGATACTTAAAAAGATTGAGAGTCTGTTTGTTTCCCATTTTTATAATAAGAATGCATTTTGGAATAGTAAATTGATGAAGAATGTGTAAATAAAAAATAAGAATTTTGTTGGAAATTCAGCCTTGATTTAGTCACAATCTGAGAGATTTTGGGGATTTGTTTCTATGTAAATATAGGTAGTAAAAGCTGTAATAAATCAGGACAGCAGGAAAGTAGGAGCTGTCTAATATTAGCTTTAATTAGTTTCCTTTTCTGTTGTAATTTCTCTTTATAAAAGAGAACCATGTACACATATTTTTGATATACAAGACATATTTCTTCCTCACATTTTCTAACTATTTTTTTTGGATTTGCGTGCAATATTATTTTATTGAAAAATGTGTGGTTGAAAAAAAAAGAGGAAAAATGTATTTTAAGAAAATGGGTATCAAACAAAGGCTGAAATTCGTAGCAATTTTATTTCATCCTTGGGGCTGTGCATTTGATGATTTGAAACAAAAGAACCTTGACTTAACATTTGAAAAGCAGCCAAATGTGTTGCATCACTCACATATTCAGGAGATTTGAAGTCTTTTGGAGTGACAGGACACCGCTCAACCTGTTATTCCCATGAAACATGTGTTGGGAAATTATTTAATTTGCCATGATGGGTCGACATATGTAATTAACTGTATATAAATGTTATCCTAAAGCTAAGCTCAAAATTAAAGTGGTCTAATAAAGAATTAAATAATTGAGTTTTAAACATCTAAATAAAGTGTGGGCCAGACTATATATGTAGAGACATGATCCATTAGGGTTTGTATTTGACGATAGGCCGAATACATATGGAAATATATAAAGGATTTTGGTCCCCAATTCATGTGTGATTTTCTCATTCTTAGTGACATCCTATCAACACAAGAATACAAGAGAAAACATATGACAAGGAAGATCCATAAACTCACAATCAGGAAACCCCAATTCATATTTGATTTTCTCATTCTTTGTGGCAACTCATCAATACAAGAATACAAGAGAAAACATATGAAGATGAATATTCATAAACCCACAATCAGGAATTAAGGAGTTTTGAAGCAACCAAACTACTGGCTCGCCGCTCCCGGGGACTCATCCGTACGCCCACGTGTCCGGATCACATTGGACCATGCGTCACGATCCCCGTCATCAAAAAAATGAGTTCCACAGTGACGTAGTCCATTGACCGTCAATTTTGAAAATCAAAATTTGCATATATAACAATTTGAATTGCTTTAGCAATTGATTGATGGATTCGTCTTCCAAGAAAAGGAAGTGGCCGAGGGTCCGTCTAGGACCGCAGGCTATCGTAAAATACGACGTGTTCTTCAGTTCAACAGGACTCAGCGTTCACAGCTGCCAATTCAGTGGTTCAGGTCTCTGAGATATAATCGAAAGCTTGGTGTGTATACACCTCCAGTGCAGCACAAAACATCTTTTCTGAGGGTTAGCGATATTGCTGACGTTGGCAGCATCGTTTGCATAAACGAATGTCCTACTGGAACCTCGGTCGATACGAGACATACCCTGAAGGTGAGATGGAACCGAATTGTTATCATTGGTTGAGTTAAGTTGACCAGCGAGGCCAATGTTCATAATATGAAGCAGTGGTTGTGGATGTGGCTGGTGTTCGACAAACGTCCCGGTAATTCTAATCTCAGTGTTAACGACATATTCATTGGTGAAAGTCGAGATCCAGACACTTGGATGATCAACATGGAAAATGTTGATAGGTTCAGTATTGTTTGTGAAAAACGATACGTTTTAGAAGGCCATGGTTATTCGGATTCTTCCATGGCGATGGACGACGGCAAATGTCCTTACTTTTGTTACATGCGATCGAGACCGATTTCTGTGAAGAAGAAACTTTATAGACTCACCGTGTACAAGGACACGACTTCCGGAGGTGTAGAGGACATGATGAAAGGAGCTTATTATTTAGTTTTTGCGACCTTTCATGAATATGCAATGGAAGTTGCATTAAATGTACGAATGTGGTTCAGAAGTGTTTAATAAAATGATATATATTCATTTTTCATTTCCCATTCCAGTATTACATGTTTGAAATTTTCCATTGCTCTGTGGAATGCATAACAGAAATTATAAACTGAAATTACACCAAAATTACATAGATTTTTATGGATATAAAAATAAAGTCGTTGGGATAAAGTCCCAGAAATTATCGTCTTCCACGATGGGTTCTGTAGTAATTCTGGGACTGGTTGTAATGTCGTCCAGATGTGGATAGTCCACCATGCTCTCTTGATTCCCAGACGTTTCTTGAGGTTGTGGTTGAACCTCATTTCCACTTCGAACACGTGATGCCACGGCGGAACCGTGTTCCGTTCGCAGTGTCGGACTTTTATCCATATCGGATTGTTTAGGTTCCAGTAATACTCCCCCACTTGTAGTTGTTGCCATGTGAGTGGCTCCCCTGTGGAAGAATCCATGATTTCGACAGTCGATCGTCTGGTAAATGATGCAGCCGCACGGTAGTGCAAGACGTCTAGGCTTGATGGCTAGAGGTTTCTTCCGTTTGCATCGATGATGCTTCGCTCCTATAGAAGGGGATTTCGGCGAAGAAGAACTCTGCATTTCCTAGTGTCCAATTTTTCAAAGTTAAATTGGCATTTTGGTCTAGGAAAGCTTTATAAGAATATTCTGCTGTGCCTGGATTGCACAGCACGATTGATGGGATACCTCTTTTAATTTGAAATGGTTTGCCGTACTTCACATTGGAAACCCAGTTATGCTAGGCGCCATAAGCTCTTTCCAATGTTTCTTTTGCAGATACGAAGGGTTGATATCATCAATGACGTTATACCATGCATTATTCGAAAATATTTTCGAATTGAAATCCATAAAGCCCATTATGTAATTATGTGGGCCTAACGATCTGGCCCAAATTGTTTTCCCAATTCTAGTTGGACCTTCCAGTATGAGACTCCTAGTCCTGTAAGGTCTGGATTCAGGTGCACGTATATTTTCGGAGGCCCATAACATTAACTATTCTGGAACATCGAACGATTCTTGACTGAACGGCGACATATATTCCGGTATTGGTTCTGGAAATAATCTATCTACATTTGTAGATATGTTGTGATATTGTAAATAGAACGTTCTTGGATCGTTCTTCCTGATAATATCTAGTGACTGTTTCTTTGATGTCCACGTTAATTTAGTTTCTTGATGATTTGAGATGAAGATCTTGGCAATTTCATAAAGTTTAAGTTTTATTAAAGTTTCAACAAGTGGTATTAGAGCCTATTCATGTTAAATCATTGGGAATCAAAATTTTTAATTTGGATATTGTATATTTTCATGTTTTTCAAATTTAATAATTTCGAACTTATATTTATTA